TCGTGCGTGAGTGAAGCGGGACCCGTTGTTCTGTCGGGGGATGATAATGAGGAAAGACAGGGATTTGTCATCTGTTTTCTGTGGTGTCTTCCTTGGTGAGAGATACCGAAATGTGAGAGAAGCATGGACGAGTGTATCTGTGGAAAAGTGTGGTAGCAAGTAGAACAGGAAAGTGGCGGGAACAGTTGGCGATAACTCTGCTATTGCCGATATGCTGAACAGGTTTATATTAGGACTGTAACCTACTTCCTACTCTGATGTGGATGACGATGGCGACCTGTCTCGAGAAGCGCTCTCGCAAGGTACTTACGCGAAGAAGACCGCTGTTCTGAACACTTCGTGCAATCAGTTCTCATCACACAGTCTACTTCGATGTTCATGCTTCTCTCTCTGTCCCAGGATCGTGTGATGCCATGTAGTAGATCATCAGACGGAATCCGCCATACTAGAGTGAGGGTAAGCCTGTGAAGCTCGTAGAGTGAGAATGAACAATGATCCGCCATACTAGACTGAGAGCAGAGAATCTCATACTAGAGTGGTAGACAGTTACACGAGAGTGAAAGTGAGACTGTGGAGGTGGAGATCTCTGTCCTGCTTCTAGATGTCTATTTCTCCACTGGGTTGTTTCAGACGAGTTATCGCTACAAAGAGGTGAACTATGTGGAGATCTCTGTTTTGCTTGGATTAACCATGTCCTTCTCCGCAGCTTCCAGAGTGAAGAGGAGTGAAGCACGCGCTGCTATGAACGCTCTCCTAATTTTACTTATATAATACTTACAACTGTCCTGTAATAAGGATTCTGCTCATCTCGTGTAAAATAAGACTCTTGACCATCTAAGGATCAAGAGCTTATATAATACTTACAACAAATTTGCTGAAGATGAACTAACGCGGTGAGCAAGATCTTCGTATTAAAGACTTCCTCGTCCATTCTTCAATCCTACAACCCACAAACAGGAGACAACCCCAGGCTTTCTTCTCAAGCTTTCCACTTTTTCCCAACTGGATTAAGTGCAAAATTCTTCAAAAAGCAAACGCAAAATCTAATATCAGTCTATCATTGTACTCCATAACCGTAAAAACAACTAGCAGAGTTTATTTTCATTTCATCCGAAGCAGTTCTGAAATTACTTACATCATCATCGCCATCCTCGCACTCAGAATCGTCCGTATCTCAACAGAATAATTAAGGGTAGGGCAACAGCATTTTTCTCATCCACAATTGATATTCAATTCATTTCATTCATATTTCACAACTGTCTGTTCGCTCACTGATGTCAAACTAATTAATTAACTTTGACGCATTACTATTAAACACGAGAAGTACCGAGTTAACTATTGAATTCACATTCACTACAATTGCATTCATTATTATCTTCACCACTAATATTATTCTTCTGTTCGCTCACTGATGTCAAACTAATTCATTATAACTCTGATGCATTACTAGTAGACACGAGAAGTACCGAGTGAACTACTGAATTTACACCCACTACAATTGCATTCATTACTATCTTCGCCACTATTATTCTTCTGTTCGCTCACTGATGTCAAACTAATTAATTAACTCTGATGCATTACTAGTATTACACACGAGAAGTACCAAGTTAACTAGTGAATTCACATTCACTGCAATTGCATTCATCATTACTATCTTCACTACTATGTATCATTCTTCTGTTCGCTCATTGATTCACTTCGTCGTCATTTGCTATCAAATAGGTGTTACTTCAAGCAGTGCGTATTGTCATCACAACTATCAGCATTCTTCTGCTCGCGCACCGATTTCATTGCCATTTAATACAAAATCAAACCAGACTACAGCATATCACTCGTAACTAGACTACAGCATATCTTCATTCCTAATTGCATTCAAGAATACCGTTTCAGCTTCTCATATAATGTAAATAATACGATCAGGTAGGGTAACGCATAAAAGTACGTACAATTTCTCCATTTCTCACTCAATACCAACACGAAGACGCTGCTAATCACGCGAATCACTCACAGATAAAGGCAAGCATACTAGAGTACAAGCATACGCACTCAATACAAGTTGTACACACTTTTTCAATCTTGATAGATTAGCATATCTATTTTTTTGCTATTGATTCGATGGATTGTTTTGAAGACACCGAAGAAACAAGAAACCAACGACATCGACGGAAGTCGCTTCACACTCATAGCCACACTCACAGCAGGACACCAAGTCGATTCATTGGCACCAACACCAACCGCACTGGACAACGACCATAGGAGGCACAACGAAGTTAACAACTAGGGCTGCATTGTGATAGGTGAGACTGAAAATTTTCAAGGAAATACTTATAATTCGAGTCTTCTACAAGAGCTCTAGTATTTTTACAGGTCCAGTCCTCTCCGGTTTCATCGTGCACTTGCCTTTATTTTCAGGTTCTTTCTGAAAAGAGTGAAAACTCATCGGACGACGAGAGGTTGATTTGTACACGCACGCTTCAACGCAAAAAGACGTAAACGGAGTTTATTTCAAGACAAAGAAAGGTATCTTCTGGCTCTGGACAATATTTTCGGATGTTCTTTTAGGCAATTAGAAGCACTAGTACACGATCAGCATAGACCTTGGACACTACGACTTCCCTCTGCAGCGCTTCCTTCTACTTCTACTTCGCAATCTCTTTCACTTCTAAATCACGCACCAACCAACCAACTTACATCTGCTGCCCACAGTCATCTTCTAAGGTAACCAAGACGCGACTATTGCCTGTCGCAGAATACAGGAGGGAGCTCCAACGAACTCCTCCATCTCCTTCTCCGGAGACAGGTCCTTCAACCCGAAAGATTCAGATAGTGGGCAGAAGGGATCCAGGAATCATTCAAGAAAGTTTCAACTCTGCTTCATTGGACAACTTCTGGTAAAAATATTTTTCTGTCCAGACAACCGATGATGCATATGAAGGAAGACTGATATATTCGTGTATTAGCAATGCTAGTTGGTGACGTTTTCTTTGGTTTTTCAACAAACTACAGATGATAGTCTTACATGCTTCCTTCCACACATCCACACACATTACCACAGTCACAAGGTACGACGATCGAGCGTCTCTACGGGTGGCTCATCAATTTTTCGTGAATTGTAAGTAATCCCTCGAATCAAGGCTGAAAGATCAAGAACATCCAGACAGATCAAAAATATCTACGACCACAACTGGACAGCAACGCGAGGACTTTGGTACAGCCGAACTCTCATGTCATGTCATCAATTGACATAGATACACTTGATTGATGCCTATTGTTCTTTGACAGACTTTTTTACTGTGGATCTGGCTGAAATTTTGAGGCGGGCTATGATTATCAAAGTCTAGATGAACGCCCCACTAGGAGTTTGTACTCTTTTAAAGTACAGGCCCTTACACTGGAGAGGCTTGCTTTGTCATTGCCTGTGAGACATGTTAGTGTCAATTATAAGCTTGATGAATAAGATGAGCTTGCAGCTAGAAGACATAAGATCATCGAAGGTAGTGACTCGATGGTGCGAGGACTGAATATGAGTCCTAGCATACGGCCATGAGTCTTGGGTGTATAACTGTGTGTTGGTTGTTTTTTTGGCCCAACACAACGCGTGTCTGTGTGGTCTGGAGGCGGGGTGAGGTTGTGTCGACCTGTTTTCTGAGCTCTTGTACTTGTGTGGCCCTCCGAGCTCTGTTTTAGTTTGTCTCTGGTGTCCTGCTCTTGCCTTCTATATGTGTTCCCGCCCATGCGGAGTCTGCGTTCGGCTCCGCCTTACACCAAGGGGCCCGAGAGGGCCCCTTTGTTGGAGAGGCCCGATACCCAACATCTGTGGTGGAGCTGCCTGGCCTCTCGCTCGTTAAGAAACTGGATTATGCAGATCATGCCCATCTGCTCTTTCTCGTTTCTTTTTCTGCCTGTGCAACTATATCCGTCCAGGAGCGTACACATAGATGGCGCACTCTATCCAGATCGTTCTCTGTCATTCTATTTTCTCATAGATCTACCCTGCTCTCTCTATCTATTTTCACTTTTTTTGAGATCTTGTTCTCCTCAGTTGAGATCACTACTTTCACTTTTTACTCCGTGGGAAGGAGTGTAGTGCTTTCTATATTTCAAGCAAGGGTAGTTTGTAGTACGTATGCACGCCCACGCGCCAATTTATTTCAAGGTTGTATTATAACTTCTCGATGGCACTATTGACATGGGGTTCGGCTTCGAGTCCTTTCTTTTCTGTGACCCTGGCTTGAGTGTCACCTCCCCGATAGTAGCCCTTTCGGGGCATGTCCTGCAGCGAGCGGCGGGGTACTACGCATCCCGCCAAATAGGATTACGTTTATTTACGCACTGACTTAGGCTCATTGCACTCTTCAAGAGCTGTCAAACTAATTGACATGTGGTAGAAGAAGGAGAAGTGGTTCCGCTGAAGTCAGCTGCAGTTGGTGCAACACCATAAGGCCTGGGCCAGTATGAAAACAATTTCTAGTCGTGGTCTTAAACAATTACAGTGGCACTGCTTCTCTCAGTTAGCTTTTATGAACAAGTTTTAGGTACAAATCGCATCTATTCTAGTGAGCCAGGCGTTGGGGGGGCTCATTATGTGCAGTGAGTTTTCTTTTTCCTAATCTGATAGTGCTCCTTCAGATCTACAACTACGGACTGGTCGTCTCGTCTGATTCACTACGGTCCGGACGGACTAGGCTGTCATACCACGACACGTGGACAAACCTGGCATACCCAAAAATGGAGGCGCTTTCTACTGTTACCCAGGACAACATGTTGACGGACATCGCGAAGTGTATCGTGGACACGCGAAAATCCAAGGAAGGCGCCGTGGATTGTTCCAGCAAAACGCGTGATCTAGATGGGGAAGGGCGTCATGGGGATGGACAGGGGCACGATATGAATGGTCAGGGGCACGATAATGATGGTCCGAAAACATCTGATGTGGATGGTACGAAAAGCCGCGACGTGGAAGTGGATGGTGCGAAAAACCGCGATCTGATTGTGGATGGCCAGGACTATCCTAGCGGTGATGCCATGGATGGCCGGGGAAGCAGCTTAATCACATGTCATCACTCGTACGGAGCACTGAGTTTCGGTGGTCCAGCTGCGGAGAGCGTGGCGTCAACGAAGTATGGACTCACAGAAGAGCCCGAACCGGGGGCGCCCGAGCAAGCGAAGCGTGTGCAAGGTGGGGCACTTAAATTGCCTTTGATGTTTGCACTGCGGTTCATCGTCATCGTGATTCCGGTTTTTTTGTTGGCCCTATTTTCCTTCTGGTCCATAAGGACGGTCGTTGACCGCACTGTGGCGTTTTCTGGTCGTGTTGGAGCCTCTAAGGCCACGGAGGGGAATTTTCGTGGTGGGATGGAAATTGTGGGAGGGGGAACTGGTGGGGGGAACAGCGTGCTTCAAATGAAGTCAGAGTTACCAAAACCAATATTGTTGAAGCAAGGCAGTAGCACAAAGTATAAGAATTCAGTTCGAACTGTTCGATTTGGTGACGAAACGCATACGCAAACTACGACTCCGAAGGGACCTGTGAGCAAAAACCAGCTGGATGCACCGGTCCGTGAGCCGAAGCGCGCGGGACTCTTCCGTTGGTTTCGGAACCTGTTTCCTCGCGTTCAGGATCACAATAGAGTTCCAGTTCGAGAGGCAGCCGAGGAGAGTCAAAAGGCGTCGGACAAAATGCGTACGGAAGAGAGAGAGACACGCGAGCAAAAAAACGGAGATGGCACTTTGCCACTCAGTGACGGGGCGGATGGCGATCAGGATCAGAATGGAGAGGGGATTGAAAGGGAGTACAAGGCGTTGGACGAAAAGCGTGAGAAAGAGAGAGAGACACGCGAGCAAAAAATCAGAGATGGCACTTTGCCATTCAGTGACTGGACGGATGCGGAAGGGGTCAAACACTTTGTTCTTCCCAAAACTAAGGAGGAAATTGTCGAAGCGCTGGGTGAACCATCGTCATCACTGCAGGAAGAAATAGAGTACAAGATGAAGAACAATGACCGCCTGGTGTCCGTGTTGGCCTTGTTCGGGTGGATGAGCGACGCTCCAGACATCATACTTGACGAATATAGCGAAGAGGCTGAGGCAGTAAAGGCTCAGCTTCTCAAAAGCAATGTTCCTGAAGAATCGATTTTGCACCATGAGGACATGGAGGCGCTCACGAAAGAACTGGTCAGAAAGAATTCAGAGCTTGGCGAGAAGATTGTCCATATCCTCAAGTCGGAGCCTGTGGCGGCGGTCCTGAAGTGGACGTTGGAAAAGGGCATCGCCATCGGCGACGAGTCCTACACTTGGAAGAATTTCGACGCGCCACTAAAAGACGCTATCTTAGGGAATTTGGATTCTCTCAGAGAATATGGCGAGGATCCATTTGTCGTTCGAAACATGGTAGGCCAGCTTCTGAATAAGGACTCGGACGAGTATTTTCGAGCCTTGCTGACAAGAGAGAAAGGCTTCGCCGTAGAGTTGATCCGGCGCGACGGTCAAGTGTGGTCACAGCTGTGGGAGCAGAACCTCGCTGGAGCGGATTTGGACGGCCAGGTGCTCAGTATGCTGAAGGCGCAAAAGAGAGGCCGCACAAAGGACGGGGGCTTGTATCTTGGGGGCTCCGCGGCTTTTCCACTTATACGAAATGAGTGGTTTATGGACGCGGCTGCGAAACTCGATCCAGACTTCGTCGTAGATGATGTGTTGCCCCCGGGCGTTTTGAGCTTCACCAAGGAACCAATATCGAATCCTGTGCGAACTATGCGATGGGTGTTTTGGACCGTCGTCAAGGCGCGGCCAGATGCTATCAAATACTATGATTTTGGCTGGACCTGGAGGCACGGTCGTGAGGAACGCTTTCTGCAAGATATTTTGAATGAAAATCCCGTTTGTATACTGTATCTCCGAGAGACGGAGTATTCATTCGCGGTGAAGCGCCTGCTGCAGCCTGCCGAAGGAAATCTTCGTCAACAGGTATATGCGGCAGTTGGAGAAGATATGCAAAAGCGCATCATGGAGAAGATTGAGAGTGGCATTAAAACAACACAGAAAATCCTCGAAACCCTGATAAGAATGAAGGACAAAAGCCAAAGCGAGGTAGAGCATCTGAAGACCAAGGTCGAGCAGCAAGAAGCAGAGCTGAACCAAGTGAGGAAGCGATGCGAGCAGCTGCGCAACACGCTGAAGAAAAAAGAGTAAAGTTTTGGAGCCCCCCGCTCGGTTCGCGTTGGGAAGGCTGCCTGATTCACGAGGGCCGGGGGAGGATTTGATGAAAGAATCTGGCACTGAAGCTGAAAGGGGGTAACAATAGGGGTGGGGCAGTTGTTCGAAGCCGTATAGTCAGGAGGCGTTTTACGTCCCAGAGAGAATTTGTGTTCCATGACTAATCGGTAGTATTGTGTAGACGTGAGCAAGACTTGGACTAATCACCATCGATAGCATAAAGAAAAGCCTGAAAGGCTACGGTGGAGCCGGTTAGAGTTTACTGGCTCGTGCTCATCGAGCAGCATGTCCAAGCTCGACGCCCTTATCGCTAATAGGCCTCGACTTTCTGTTCAGTTAGAAGCCTGGGCCTAAGTTAGTACACAGGTGATGGGCGAGCGCTTCCTTCTAGGTGTGTCCTCTGTTGGGCGCGTGTCGGAAAGCTCGACAGTCTAGGAACTTGATGAAGGTGCGCGCGAAAGTAAAAAGGCGATGGGTGGGCGCTTCCCTCTGAGCGTGTCCTCTGTTGGATGCGCGATGGAAAGCTAGCCCCTGACAATCTAGAAAAGTGATGAACGCCCGCGCTTAATTTGTTTCACGGGTGGTGGGTGCGCGCTTCTTTCTAAGCTTGTCTTCTGTTGGCTGCCTGATGGATAGCTAGCCCTTGACAATCTAGAAATGCGACGAAGGCCCGCGCCTAATTTGTTTCACGGGGGGTGGGTGCGCGCTTCTTTCTAAGCTTGTCTTCTGTTGGCTGCGTGATGGAAAGCTAGCCCTTGACAGTCTAGGGAAGTGAAGAGCGCCTGCGCCTAAATGCGTGGGTTGTGGGTGAGCGCTTCTTTCTAAGCGTGTCACCTGTTGGCTGCGCGATGGAGAGCTAGGCCTCGACAATCTGGAAAATTGATGAGGGCCTGCGCCGAAGTATATAGGTGATGGGTTGGCGCTTCTGCTCTCTAAGCGTGTCCTCTGTTGGATGCGCGATGGAAGGCTAGCGCTTGACAGTCTGGAGAATAGACAAAAGCCTGCGCCTAAATACATGGGTGATGGAGCGCTTGTCTTCTGTTGGCTGCGTGATCGAAAGCTAGCCCTTGACAATCTAGAAAAGTGATGAAAGACTGCGCCGTCTGAATGTATGGGTGACTGATGGGTACTGTCAACATCTTTGCGCGTGCATTCAATATGTGACGCCTGAAGTAGAGGTGCCAACATCCTCACCAAAAGCTCAGGTCTTGTGCCTGGTGAAATCAGATGGGCACAGAATACTTTACTTATGCCAGGTGTGTTCAATGCGTTTGCCTTCATTGTACTTATACGGAGAGTGGCTCTTTCTGTGAAAATGTCCGATCAATGCCAGGTGCCAGATAATAGGCTGCTTACCGGAGTGTCATATTGCGTGCTAGATGTACTACCGTTTCGGCCCCTCAACAACTTGCGACACTGTCAATATTGGCTCTACCATTGTCGAAGTACTCATATATTTGTTGTCGTGCGTGAGTGAAGCGGGACCCGTTGTTCTGTCGGGGGATGATAATGAGGAAAGACAGGGATTTGTCATCTGTTTTCTGTGGTGTCTTCCTTGGTGAGAGATACCGAAATGTGAGAGAAGCATGAGCGAGTGTATCTGTGGAAAAGTGTGGTAGCAAGTAGAACAGGAAAGTGGCGGGAACAGTTGGCGATAACTCTGCTATTGCCGATATGCTGAACAGGTTTATATTAGGACTGTAACCTACTTCCTACTCTGATGTGGATGACGATGGCGACCTGTCTCGAGAAGCGCTCTCGCAAGGTACTTACGCGAAGAAGACCGCTGTTCTGAACACTTCGTGCAATCAGTTCTCATCACACAATCTACTTCGATGTTCATGCTCCTCTCTCTGTCCCAGGATCGTGTGATGCCATGTAGTAGATCATGAGACGGAATCCGCCATACTCGAGTGACGGTAAACCTGTGAAGCCCGTAGAGTGAGAATGAACAATGATCCGCCATACTAGACTGAGAGCAGAGAGTCTCATACTAGAGTGTTAGACAGTTACACGAGAGTGAAGGTGAGACTGTGGAGGTGGAGATCTCTGTCCTGCTTCTAAGTGTCTATTTCTCCACTGGGTTGCTTCAGACGAGTTATCGCTACAAAGAGGTGAACTATGTGGAGATCTCTGTTTTGCTTCGATTAGCCATGTCCTTTTCTCCGCAGCTTCCAGAGTGAACAGGAGTGAAGCACGCGCTGCTATGAGCGCTCTCCTAATTTTACTTATAATACTTATAACAAATTTGCTGAAGATGAACTAACGTGGTGAGCAAGATCTTCGTATTAAAGACTTCCTCGTCCATTCTTCAACTCTACAACCCACAAACAGGAGACAGTCCCAGGCTTTCTTCTCAAGCTTTCCACTTTTTCCCAACTGGATTAAGTACAAAATTCTTCAAAAAGCAAACGCAAAATCTAATATCAGTCTATCATTGTACTCCATAACCGTAAAAACGACTAGCAGTGTTTATTTTCATTTCATCCGAAGCAGTTCTGAAATTTCTTACATGATCATCGCCATCCTCGCAATCAGAATCGTCCGTATCTCAACAGAATAATTAGGGGTAGTACAACAGCACTTTTCTCATCCACAATTGATATTCAATTCATTTCATTCATATTTCACAACTATCTATTCGCTCACTGATGTCAAACTAATTTATTAACTCTGATGCATTACCATTACACTCACAAACGAGAAGTACCGAGTCAACTATTGAATTCACATTTTTCACTACAATTGCACTCATTACTATCTTCGCCACTAATATAGTTATTCTTCTGTTCGCTCACTGATGTCAAACTAATTCATTATAACTCTGACGCATTACTATTAGACACGAGAAGTACTGAGTTAACTACTGAATTTACACTCACTACAATTGCACTCATTACTATCTTCGCCACTATTATTCTTCTGTTCGCTCACTGATGTCAAACTAATTGATTAACTCTGATGCATTACTAGTATTACACACGAGAAGTACCAAATTAACTATTGAATTCACATTCACTACAATTGCATTCATCATTACGATCTTCACTACTATCAATTCTTCTGTTCGCTCATTGATTCACTTCGTCGCCATTTGCTATCAAATAGTTGTTACTTCAAGCAGTGCGTACTGTCATCACAACTATCAGCGTTCTTCTGTTCGCGCAGCGATTTCATTGCCATCTAATACAAAATCAAACCAGACTACAGCATATCATTCGTAACTAGACTACAGCATATCTTCATTCGTAACTGCATTCAAGAATACCATTTCAGCTTCCCATATAATAATACGATCAGGTAGTGTTGTGTAACGCATAATAGTACGTATAATTTCTCCATTTCTCACTGAATACCAACACGAAGACGTTGCTAATCACGCGAATCACTCACAGATAAAGGCAAGCATACTAGAATACAAGCATACGCAATCAATACAAGTTGTACACACTTTTTGAATCTTGATAGATTAGCATATATCTATCTTTTCGCTATTGATTTGATTGTTTTGAAGACACCGAAGAAACAAGAAACCAACGATACCGACGGAAAGCGAACTAATAATAATAATCGACGGAAAGCGGTTCACACTCATAGCCACACTCACAGCAGGACACCAAGTCGATTCATTGGCACCAACACCAACCGCACTGGACAACGACCATAGGAGGTACAACTAAGTTAACAACTAGGGCTGCACTGTGATAGGTGAGACTGAAAATTTTCAAGGAAATACTTATAATTCGAGTCTTCTACAAGAACTCCATCGTGCGCTACCCTTTATTTTCAGGCTCTTTCTGAAAAGGGTGAAAACTCATCGGACGACGAGAGGGTGACTTGGACACGCACGCTTCAACGCAAAAAGACGCAAACGGAGTCTATTTCAAGACAAAGAGAGGTATCTTCTGGTTCTGGGCAATATTGTCGGATGTTCTTTTTACGCAAATAGAAGCACTAGGACACGACGATAGACCTTGGACACTACGACTTCCTTCTGCAGAGCTTCCTTCTACTTCTACTTCGCAATCTCTTTCACTTCTAAATCACGCACCAACCAACCAACCAACCAGCCAACATCTGCTGCCCGCAATCATCTTCTAAGGTAACCAAGACGCGAGTAGTATTGTTTGTCGCAGAATACAGGAGCTCCAACGAACTCCTCCATCTCCGGAGACAGGTCCTTCAACCCGAAAGATTCAGACAGTGGGCAGGAGGGATCCAGGAATCATTCAAGAAAGTTTCAACTCTGCTTCATTGGGCAGCTTCTGGTAATGTTTTTCTATCCAGACAACCGATGATGCATATGAAGGAAGATTGATATATTCGTGTATTATTCGTGTATTAGCAATGCTAGTCGGTGATGTTTTCTTTGGTTTTTGAACAAACTACAGATGATAGTCTTAAATGCTTCCTTCCACACATCCACACACATTACCATAATCACCAGGTACGACGGTCGAGCGTCTCGACGGGTGGGCCATCAATATTTCGTGAATTGTAATCCCTCGAATCAAGGGTGAAAGATCAAGAACATCCAGACAGATCAAAAA